CGATGCAGTCATTTCAATTTGAGCAATAATGCAAAAATTAAACCAAGTATTAAATTATGAATTTGACATAATCAGGCCTTTTTGTCCTGCATGTTTGTGCATGCGTGTGTGCTTATTTGGAAGTATGCACGCAGAATTAATCATGAGCGGTGAATCATACGATGCAGGATTTTGCACTCTGCAAAACGACAAAATGATTCTAATTTAACCTAATTACTTTGGATCAAAGTGTTGCATCAACATTAAAGGAATAGTTCACTCAAAAATGAAAAATTGCTGAAAATGTGCTCATCCTCAGGTCACCCAAGCTGTATTTCTTCATCAGGTTTGTAGAAATGTAGCATTGCATCAGTGTCTCAGCAATGGATGCTCTGCAGTGAATGGGTGCCGTCAGAATGAGAGTCCAAACAGCTGATAAAAACACCACAGTAATCCACACTAGGGCTGTGACGGTGGTCGCTTGCCATCGCGGTTGTCTACTGCCACCGGCGGTAGTGCACGTGACGTCACGTACTCTATAACAAGCATAATACGAAGTTTTGTATACAAGTGTAATAACAGTAATAACAGTAGCGGAACAGTGAACCGTGTCTACACCGGACGCGACACCGCCGCGTCGCAACAGGTTGAGTCTGTCTAGTGTCTACACAGGACATCTGAACTCTGTCAGTACCTCATAAACAGAATGAGGCAGTTTACCGTCGGGGATTTGTCATGTTGTGTCGAGCCGCATCCAGTGTAGCATCACTGATTATAATGAGTTTTATAGTATTTAGTTAGTACTTTCTCGTTGAACTGTATTATTTCTTTGATATTTATTTTAGTGTTTTGCAGGCTGCGTATTCACTGACTGAAGTGCTAAAATAAACACGAGCTCACGAGTTGAATCGGGTGTGTTAGATGAGTGAGACAGTGCTCACTGCTCCAGGACATAAGAGACATGTTCTTAAATGTGACTCATATATGCATGCACAGTTTTAAGGCAGCTTTAATCGCCTTTTTGGTAACTTCATGACTTAACTGACCACGTGAGTGGGGTGGCCAACCCTAACCCTGCCCCTGCGTTAAATATTTTTGAATGCGTTAAACTGAAAAAAAATGTGCCTGCATTAACACGCTAATTTTGACACCACTAATATATATATATATATATCTTCCGGCTAAAATACTAGTCCATAATCCATATTATAATTTTTTTATGGAGACTGTGAATGGGATTTTAACTTCAGATAATGACTGTTATTGTTACATAAAACATTTTCATCAATTAAAATATAGTTTAAATAATATAAAATATAAATATTATATGAAGAACTTAAACTTAAAATACTTAAATGAAAATTATAAATGCTGACTGAAATAAGTATGTTTATTCTGAAGTACTACAATGATTAAAACTAAACCTGGAATAAAAATGTATTATTAAATATGATGAAATAAAAATAAAATATAAAAATACTTGAATTTTCGAAAATGTTTTTCAAACTTAAAAAAAAAAATTAGAAATGCTAAGAAAACTTAGAAAACTAACTTAAATAAGTTAAACTAAAAATTAGTTTTACTAAAACTAAAACAGAAATAAAAATACATGCACAGATCAAGCAGCGTTTACGAGCCAAAACAGTCCAAAACAGCTCTAAACAAATATGTGGCTGGATTTTGATGTGAGAGGCAACAGAAGATGACTTTTTCACTGGAGGAAGAGTTATTATGGACTCGTATTTTAGCCAGAAGCAACAAGTTAAAAACATCTTAATAATGGATTTGTTTCTTACAAACACGCAGCTTTTGATTACTTGTGGATTATTGTGATGTTTTTATCAGCTGTTTGGACTCTCATTCTGACGGCACCCATTCACTGCAGAGCATCCATTGCTGAGACACTGATGCAGTGCTACATTTCTCCAAATCTGATGAAGAAACACACTCATCCTGATCTTGGATGGCCTAAAGGTGAGTACATTTTCAGTACATTTTTAGGTAAACTATTCCTTTAAGATCCCCATTGGCGGGAAAATAAGTGAGATTTTGTCATTTCTGAACTTTTCTTCTTTAGCTCCATTGAAAGAGATATGTTTCCACATGTCTCATTCGTAGGGAAATAAGTAGAAAAAAATATGTGATCCACAGGCTCAACTGGTATTTCTGCAGAACATGCTCATTTTTAAAGAAAAACTGCTTTCAAAGCACAGAGCGAGTGCAGCAATCTGACAAAGCCCCGTGAAATATGATCGCTGTACTGTCTGTGGACTCCGAGCTTCACTCACTCCAGTCATTTCCAGCGGTCGGATTTCTCTCAGGAGGGAACAGCGGTGCTTCCAGACAAAGGTGTAGAAACAAACACGCTTTCCAACAAGAGGAAACCACCTGACTTCCTTTTTTCATCCGTTCCGAATGACTTTCCACTTATTGTCTGCCGTTGAGAGCGTTACAGTACGTTTGCAAAGAAAAAGTGTGTGTGGCCTGTGCTGTTGGAGCTGTATTATGTTGACTAAAATACAATGTGACCCTGGAGCACAAAACCAGTCTTAAGTGTCAATTTTTCAAAATTTAGATTTATACCTCATCTGAAAGCTGAATAAATAAGCTTTCCATTGATGTATGGTTTGTTAGGATAGGACAATATTTAGCTGAGATACAACTATCTGAAAATCTGGAATCTGAGCGTGCAAAAAAATCTAAATATTGAGAAAATCATCTTTAAAGTTGTCCAAATGAAGATCTTAGCAATGCATATTACTAATCAAACATTAAGTTTTGATATATTTATGGTAGGAGATGTACAAAATATCTTCATGGAACATGATCTTCACTCACTCATACACACACACACACTCACACACACACACACACACTCACACTCACACACACTCACTCACGCTTTTCACAATTTTCAAAATTAAATTATAATTTTTATTTTTTAATTATTAAACAATCATTTTTTTAAACTAATTTTTGGTAATGAAATATTAAAATAGTAATATTTCCTATTTTGTTTTTATTATCATATTATTATAGATTTTTTTATAATAATAATAACAATAATGATGATGATGATGATGATGATGATGATGATAATAATAAATTGTGCAGCCTTACGTTTTTTTTTTTTTTTTACTTTTAGAATTGCAATTCTTATCATTAAAAAAACATCCTCAAATTGTTTTGCCCAATCAGATCCATTCAGACCATTTGACCCAATGTTGGAAAATTGTATCTCATTATATCATTATGTAAATTATTATTATTATTATTAATAATAATACTTGATTTTTATTTTACAGTGAAATACTATAATAGTAATATTTATTTTATTTTAATTTAGTCATTTTTATGTAGTTATACTACTATTACTACTACTACTACTAATAATAGTAATGATAAATTGTGCATCTCTACAAACAAGCACAGCAAACCTGATTTTTTTTTTTTATATATATATATTAGGGCTGTGTATCACCAGCAATGTCATGATACGATACATATCACAATACAGAGGCCATGATACGATACGTATCACGATACATGACTGCACCTCAGCAGAATTTAGAAAAACAGCTGTTTATTAAACACTGCTTACTATAGGGCCATTGCTAACTATTGGCAGAGCAGGCATCTGACCTCTGCATTATGAAGGGCCTCCATAACTGTACCACAGTACAATATAGGTAATGGCATATGTTTCATGTTTACATTGGGCACTCCCCACCAGGTACAGTATTCTGATTGTTTGCATCTTGTTTTTAAGCCCATAAATAATAATATACTTGTTCTAATACATTTATATTGTAATGTACTCATTCTAATTTGATAAAGATAAGTAGCACGTTTATCAGATATTTCCGTACTGCGCAAGTGTAAAGCTCTGTTTTGGGGATTACGTCTCTTTATATCAGGCAACCCAGTTGTGTTCCTCTGCGGCCAGATTATTAACAGATGCTCTATTCATTCTTTTTTAGAAACCTCGCACTTTTCTACTCAATTTTAAACGTTGTAAAATTAAGCGAGGTCCACCGCTGCACACGTGCCACAGTATCGATACAGGGCCAGCTGTATCGAAACTTGTATCGTCAAATCTCTGTGACGATACATCGTCGTATCGATATTTTGAACACAGCACTAATATATATATAAATCACAATTGTAATTTTTTATCAGAAAATTCCCCAAATTGTGTAGCCCAACCAGTTCTTTCATCCCTATTAGGGCTGGGACAATAAATCGATGCATCGCGAATCGAGAAATGATTCTGCATTGATTCTGAGATTATCGGAATGCATCGCGATTCTCTCTCGAATCGATTCTGAGTTTAGTTTTTAACAGCAGATGGCACTGCATGCTTTAGAAATAGCCGAATTCTGCTTGCTTCCAGTTCCTTACACACGCACCATTTGAACCTAAAATAATCATTCATAAAGTTCGAAAAGGTTGAAGCGAATTAGAAGGATGTTCACAGTGGGCTGTGTTTACATTAATCTCGCATCATAAAAGTCGATGTGCAAGTATATTTAACCACTTACATGACTCAGCCGAACGCACACTCTTCTTCGTGAGCATTTGAGTGTGCGGTTAAAAATTTGCCTAGAGCGCCATCTGCTGTTAAAAACTAAGCTCAGAATTGATTCGAGAGAGAATCACGATAATCTCAGAATCAATCCATGAAACGCGATGCATCGATTTATTGTCCCAGCCCTAATCCCTATGTTTGAAAACTGTCTCTTACCGTTTCTTATCATAATATAAATGTTTCTTATTATATTGCATTTTAAATCGCAATTGCAATTTATTTTTTTCAGAATATTTCTTAAATTGTGTAGCCCAACCAGTTCTTACATCCCTATGTTTGAAAACGGTCTCTTACCGTTTCTTACAGTGATGTAAATTATTCTTATTATATTGCATTTTAAATCACAATTGAAAAAAAAATTTTCAGAAAAAAATTATAAAAATCCACAATTTGTGCAGGTCTAGGAGCCCAATATTGTAAACCGGCCTCTCACCTTCAGCTTGTCGAATCGCTCTCCCAGCGCTGCCACCTGGTGTTCACGGTGATGCCCGACCAGTTTGCACAGTGAGCAAATCAGCTGGTCGTCCGTCACGCAGTACATGTTGACCTTCTCCTCTCCGTGCTCGGGACAGGCCAGTCCTCTGAGGCGCGAGTCCGGCACGGGTTTGGTGAGCCGGTGTCCCGTGAAGGGCTTCTTGTTGGGGTGAGTGGCGCGCAGGCATTCCTGGCAGTACGAAACCTCGCAGGTGACGCAGGTCTTGACCGCCTCCTGCGGCGGATCCTGCTCGCAGAACTGGCACTGGACAGCTTCGCACGGTGAACTCATGACCCTGCCGTCATCCACCGCCACCGAGGGGAACGGATCACGGCTGCAGCGGCGCGTCTCGCTCGGCGAGTTCGGCCCGCTCAGAGATGCCTTCTGGAAGCGGTCGATGATGTTCTGCAAAGTGACGTTGCGTTTGAGGCCGTCTAGACCCTGCTGGTTGAGAGTGATGACATAGCGACAGGTGGGACACTGGAAGGCAGAGTAGGGTTTGCTGGACTCGTCGAGCGAGGGACAGTGGGACACCAGAATGCGATGGGCGCAGTTGAAGCACAGGCTGTGGGCGCAGGGCAGCAGTAGAGGATCCTCGAAAAGTTCCAGACAGATTGGGCAAGTCAACTCCGACTCCAGTGTGTCCATCTTCAGTGAAGCGATGGGGACGTCAGCGAAACCCAGGGAAGCCGTTTAGCCGTCTGCAAACAAGTGAAAGACAACCTCCGCTGTTACATTACCGCTCAAATGTTAACGAAATTAATACATACTCCTGCAACTCTGTTTTTCCTATTCACTGTGATCAGTAAGAAAGGTACAAAGTCACTTTCCAGAACCTTCACTGTCTCTGTTGTTCTGTGGAGGATCAAACATCCAACCTGTTCGATCTGCTTTTATTCAGTAAGGACGCATTAAATTGATCAAAAGTGCAACTCCGACTCCAGTGTGTCCATCTTCAGTGAAGCGATGGGGACGTCAGCGAAACCCAGGGAAGCCGTTTAGCCGTCTGCAAACAAGTGAAAGACAACCTCCGCTGTTACATTACCGCTCAAATGTTAACGAAATTAATACATACTCCTGCAACTCTGTTTTTCCTATTCACTGTGATCAGTAAGAAAGGTACAAAGTCACTTTCCAGAACCTTCACTGTCTCTGTTGTTCTGTGGAGGATCAAACATCCAACCTGTTTGATCTGCTTTTATTCAGTAAGGACGCATTAAATTGATCAAAAGTGACTAGGGATGCACCGAATGTTTGGCAACCGAAATTATTCGGCCGAAAATAAGCGAAAAGGCCGAATAATATGTACCGAACAATGGCGAACGCGATCAAATAGAAGCACGCACTAATGCACCAAACATGTCGGCAGTGTGAAAGTATTTAAAACTATCAGAGAAAGACGCAGACATCATTACAAGCACGAAGCACAGACAGCGAGAGACTGTTTAGTGCTGCATCACATGTCTCCGATGAGATGAAGAGGTGGCTGATGCTGGTGGTTAGGCTACTGTATGATGATTGAAATCGTGAAATGGCCTCAAACGATTAGTAAATAAACTGCAGAATATTATATTTTCTAATGCACGCACGAATTGCATTTATTCTGACAGTGCTGCACGAGCACGCAGCGCCAGGGTTAAAAGTCCAAAGCGCGAGGAAAATCTGCGCTGAAATGTGTTACTCGTCAGTTGCTCAGTAACATTTTTGTGAATTTTTTTAAAGGCATGTGACAATGTGATAAGTGCGACAAACATCTTCCCAAATTCATAATGAGAATCATTTATAAATCTGCATGCTGTTGTCAACAAAAAGAAGTACTGAGATCTTCCTGCGGGTTTCTGACAAAATAAAAGCTACAACTCCATCGACATTCATAAATGTTAGTATTGTAATTTTACTGTTGTTCTGTAAAATAAAATAGTAAGACAATAATAATGATAATAATAATAACCCTGCAACATCTCTATTAATACATTTATTATAACATTCACACGTAGTGTTCAAATTGGGATCTGTCATATATTCTAATGTTTTAAAAGAAGTCTCTTCTGCTCCGCAAGGCTGCCTTTATTTGTACAGTAAAAAATACATGCCTGATTCAAGTCTCAAAAATGGCCAAAAAATATTATTTTACTAACTTATTAATTTTAAGTTTTTAAGGATATAATGTCTGCTAGAATGTTCAAAAAAATATTCAGTGTTAAGTAAATATTTTTAAATTGTTGTTTTGTAATTGATTTTTTATTTGAAAAGCAGGACAAAACAGTAAATAGCACATTTTGACTATTTAATGTATGCAATGGTGAAAAAAAAAGCCAAAATAGACCTACATGGGGGAAAAAACGCAAAAAAACGGGTTCGGTATTCGGCCCTGTATTTAATTTTGTTCGGCTTCGGCCAAGAATTTTCATTTCGGTGCATCCCTAAAAGTGAGAGTAAAACATTTATAATGTTACAAAAGATTTCTATTTCAAATAAATGCTGTTCTTTTGAACTTTCAATTCATCTGTGAATCCTGAAAAATAAAGTGTATCACGGTTTCCACAAACATATTAGCATTGCTAATAATCAGAAATGTTTCTTGAGCAGCAAATTAACATATTAGAATCATTTCTGAAGGCTCAAGTGACCAGGGGCGGAGCCAGGGGGTCGTGGCCACCACTGACCTAAGCTTGGCCACCCCTTTGGCCACCCCACTCAAAACTGATGCTTTTTGACAAGAAATGCATTTATTAAGACGCGGAACCGCCGTATCTCTTTATGACCATCAAATTGGAGAATTTTCGGCACGTACTTCAACTTCGCCTCAGCGCCAGGCGCAAGTCAAACAAGCATGGAAATTAAGGAACATGTGCCAAATGAGCTTCAGCAGAACAACAGTGAACTGCGGTCTGATGAGATGTTGTAGGCTATATGTCAGTAAAACAAACTTTCCTCTCCTGACAGCTGTTTTACCGTGCTCACGGCGCACACTCTTCAACTTTACGCGAATATAAGCCGCACGCTCTATATCGCTTCATCATAAATAATGCGTGCAAGAAACTATGAGCATACAATGTAGTTCTGACGTCATGAAATTACCAAAAAGGCAAGTGCATATACATAATTAGTGCATTCATTTATGTATAGCATCATATAAAAGAATGTCTCTCTAAGAAATGCATGTACTAAAAGATTGTGCAATTCGAGATCACAATATAGTTCTACACAATAAGGTGCAAGCTGTAATTTAATGCACAAGTAAATATGAACACAGTGCACTTATACTAGAAAACATGCACTATTTAATTTTTTTTATTTTGTAAAGTACGAAAATGAAACCATTTAAATGCATAAAACTAATTTTACATTCTGGCATTTATGTGCTGTTGACTTCCGTCCTTTTTTTTATTTTTATTAACCAATTCTTATCACTATCTGCATGTCTCATCAATGACTATGCAATGGAGAACAAGCTTTTGGTGGTTTTGAGAACCTGAACCAAGCTGCCTGAGTAATAAAGCTATAGTGAGCCCCTTTATTAAAATACCTGGAGGTGGGGAATAATACACAAATTGTCATGTTCACTCAGCATTACTTGATCTAATTCACAAATATCTCAAATACAATTTATTTGAAATTAATTGTATTCAGTTGTGTTTTAGGCACTAAAACAGTCCAATACTTTATGAAGATTTCTGTGCCACCCCAGACTGGTTGCTGGCCCCTCCCTGGCCACCCCAATAAAAACATCCAGGCTCCGCCACTGCATGTGACGCTGAAGACTGGAGTAATGATGCTGAAAATTCAGCTTTGATCACAGAAATAAATTACATTTTAACAGATATTCACATAGAAAACAGCTATTTTAATTTGTAATAATATTTCACATTATTACTGCAATTTTGATCATAAATGCAGGTTTGGTGAGCAGAAGAGACTTCTTTCAAAAACACTACTGACCTCAAACTTTTGAACGGGGGTGTATATTGCCTCAGCAACCACTCAAAGCTTTCATGACTCATTTATATTTCATAATCATAAGCTGCAGGAAAGACAAACCAAAAGTGAGACCTTTTTATCTTAGTCGATTCTCCTAAAAAAATGATCCTGCTATTCCAATGTTTCTCCCGAGTAAAAGACCTCTAGAGATCTCAATCATGTCTCAAACTGTGCTCCAATTTGCTGTGATTTGAGTGACTTATATATCGGGTCATTCTGTGCCAAATCAACCACATTTCAGAAAATTTCCTGACTTAAATGTTTGATTTTGTAAACATAAATAATGATGAAAACCAAAATATCAGATGCCATGGATGTATATTTACCCAGTAATCCACTATTTTGTTGAGGGGGGTCAAAATTATAGTATTCACCTGAGATTTTGAGGCAAATTACAGACTTTGTAATCACACACACACTCACTCTCCCTCTCTCACACACACACTCACTCTCCCTCTCTCACACACACACTCACTCTCCCTCTCTCACACACACACTCACTCTCCCTCTCTCACACACACACTCACTCTCCCTCTCTCACACACACACTCACTCTCCCTCTCTCACACACACACTCACTCTCCCTCTCTCACACACACACTCACTCTCCCTCTCTCACACACACACTCACTCTCCCTCTCTCACACACACACTCACTCTCCCTCTCTCACACACACACTCACTCTCCCTCTCTCACACACACACTCACTCTCCCTCTCTCACACACACACTCACTCTCCCTCTCTCACACACACACTCACTCTCCCTCTCTCACACACACACTCACTCTCCCTCTCTCACACACACACTCACTCTCCCTCTCTCACACACACACTCACTCTCCCTCTCTCACACACACACTCACTCTCCCTCTCTCACACACACACTCACTCTCCCTCTCTCACACACACACTCACTCTCCCTCTCTCACACACACACTCACTCTCCCTCTCTCACACACACACTCACTCTCCCTCTCTCACACACACACTCACTCTCCCTCTCTCACACACACACTCACTCTCCCTCTCTCACACACACACTCACTCTCCCTCTCTCACACACACACTCACTCTCCCTCTCTCACACACACACTCACTCTCCCTCTCTCACACACACACTCACTCTCCCTCTCTCACACACACACTCACTCTCCCTCTCTCACACACACACTCACTCTCCCTCTCTCACACACACACTCACTCTCCCTCTCTCACACACACACTCACTCTCCCTCTCTCACACACACACTCACTCTCCCTCTCTCACACACACACTCACTCTCCCTCTCTCACACACACACTCACTCTCCCTCTCTCACACACACACTCACTCTCCCTCTCTCACACACACACTCACTCTCCCTCTCTCACACACACACTCACTCTCCCTCTCTCACACACACACTCACTCTCCCTCTCTCACACACACACTCACTCTCCCTCTCTCACACACACACTCACTCTCCCTCTCTCACACACACACTCACTCTCCCTCTCTCACACACACACTCACTCTCCCTCTCTCACACACACACTCACTCTCCCTCTCTCACACACACACTCACTCTCCCTCTCTCACACACACACTCACTCTCCCTCTCTCACACACACACTCACTCTCCCTCTCTCACACACACACTCACTCTCCCTCTCTCACACACACACTCACTCTCCCTCTCTCACACACACACTCACTCTCCCTCTCTCACACACACACTCACTCTCCCTCTCTCACACACACACTCACTCTCCCTCTCTCACACACACACTCACTCTCCCTCTCTCACACACACA